AAGGCAGTCGCTTAACCAACTGAGCCACCCAGGCGCCCCGAACGTGTTTGCTTTTGATAAAGAAACAGGCTCTTCGGGGCGCCTGGGTGGCTCAGTAGGTTAAGCATCTGCCTTTGGCTCAGGTCATGACCCCAGGGCCCTGGGATTGAGCCCCCACATCGGGGCTCCCTGCTCTGCTGGGAGCCTGCCTCTCCCTCTCCCTCTGCCACTCCCCCTGGTTGTGCGTGCACTCTCTCTCTCTGTCAAATAAATAAATAAAAATCTTAAAAAAGAAAAAAGAAACAGGCTCTCCTCCCCAAAAGGAATCCCGGCCACATCTCTCTGCACTGAAGTTTGAGTGCATGCACGCTCACCGAGGTGAAGACCTCAGTGGTCTGCTGGATGGTGGCGATCTTCCTCCAGCCCCACTTCTCAAAAAGCTTCACGCGGGTAGGATTGTGGAGCGTGGCCGACGGATGAGTTCGAAAGAATGTGGGAAAGCGCTGCCTGTTGGACAGGGCCGGTGAGCTGGAGCCGTAGGAGAGCTGAGGCACAGGGACACAGAGCAGGACATGCTCGCCCAGAGCTCCGCGCAGCCCTCCTGGCTGCCCCCAAGCCTCCTGCCCAGCACTGCCCTGTGAGCATGGTTCTCACTGGCCCAGTTCCTGGCACGGTGCTCACTTCCTGCTGAGGAGGGGCAGTGAGCTGTGCTCTCAGGCCACTGCTGGAGGGCCGTGAAGGACCACGAGTCCTGAAAACGGGCCCTCCGCAGTCCCTTAAATACAGAGCTGCAGGACTCCCCTTCCTAGCCCCACAGCCTGGCTTACCACGATGAGGTTCCACATCCTGGCGGCCTCAGCCACAAGCGTGGAGACGGAACTACACCCAGGCATGAGGATGATCTTGATGGGGTCGTTGTAGAGCAGCTCATACAGGTACTTGGTGGCTTGGCCTGGGTCACACTGAATGGGGAGGGGTAAGTGTCGGTCACCCGTGCTCCTCCTCGTGGCATCCCCAACAACCTAGCTACTTCCCAGCTGGACCCCTTCCGTCACGAGCACCGTTTTCTCCTCCTTCCCGACATCTCTTCCTGTCCAGTCTCTCAGCTCCCCTCATGCATCAAACACCGTCCCCTGTCTTGCCCCTGCCTCCTTACCCATGTCCTCTCCTGCACGCACCTCCATCAGGATTACTGCAGAGACCACCTTTCCTCCCTCAGCCCCTCCTCAGACCTCCCCCAGCCTACCTTCCTCTACCACCCCGTCCCCTTCCCCATGTTTCTAAACTCCAAATATCTGTGAGTCTGCAGGAATGTGAATGAGTCCCCAGAAAGCCTCCTCAGAACCATGCTATGAAAATTCCTCCTTCACCTCTGCAAACTCCCGCTCCCCACCTTCCATTTGTCCCTGGCTCCTCTCTTTTCAGGGCTAGTGATAAATAAACACAAGGAGAACAGGGAACAAGACCACTAGGGAGTCCTGCTTGGCGGTCCCTCCTCTCCTGCTGGGCCCTGACATTTGACGGGTCCATTAGAAAAAGAGGCACTTGGGGAAGGTTGGAAGTGGGGGAGAAATAGGTGAGGAAGAACTGGGGAGAATAAATAGAATGAGGCTCTCAACAAACCAGATGCTTTTAGGGGTGCCTGAAGGAGGGGCAGGGAGATGAGGAAAGTAAACAATGCAGAGACCTGGGGAGGGAAGGGACGGTGGGAGGAAGAGCCGCGTGGTGAGCCCCTGCCTGTTCCCCTCCTGCTGAAGTATGACATTTCAGAAGCTGCTGGAGCCCCAAAGGAAGTCAAGAAGAAATGGAAGGCAGTGGGGAGCCAGGGTAGAGGAGGAAGAGACAGGAGGCGCAGGGCTGGGGAGGGTGACAGGGGGCAGGCAGAGAGGGAATAAGGAAGGCCCCCTAGAGCCTGCTCACTTCCCACTGGGGCCTGACATTTGAGACACCGTGGGAAGTTGGAGAAGGGGAGCCGGAACCCTCTGCTGTCCCCCTCACCCCCACCCCCTGCTAAGAGGTGTTTTTGAAGGCTCCTCACCCTGGCAGCTCTGCCATTCTCAGGCCCCACCTTCCTGCACTCTCCTAGCAGGTTACCCCAGATGCTGCCCCACCTCCCCCTTGCAGCCTGGGGAAGGTTGGCAGGAACAAGTAGGAGCACAGACAACACACACATACACACAGGCTGACCCAGGGCTCTTCTCTGGCTTGCTCATTCCTCTCCTACCTTCTCTCCTTCCACACTCAGTTCCTCCCTGCAAATTCCCTGATTCTCACCCCTCCCCAGTAGACTTCTTCTCGGCCTCTCTTCTGCTCTCTCTTCTGCAAAGGATCTGGACTTGCCCGCAGGAAAGCACACATTCCAGTTTGCGGCTTTCCCCTCTCCCTCGCTGCCTCTTCTAGTTACTCTTCCATCTCCCTTCTCTCAGGCCCCCCATCTGCTCCCCAGCACCTCTAGGGAGTCACCTGTCACAGTGGATGAGTCTGAGCTCACACACGGGGCTACGGGACTACGGGGCTCCCCGGCTCCCTGTGACCCCCTATCCTGACCCCTGCACCCATCCCTCCCAGTCTCTCGCCCCAGACTCCCACCTCCAGCAGACCTGACCCTCTGCTCCTCTCCCTGCCTCTCCCCCTAACACCTAATGTTTTTTCCTGTGCGTGGCTGATCTTCCATGGGGATCCTGAGGGTGGCTACTTAGGCATCCACCAGGACAGGACGTGTAATGGCAAAAATGCAGATGCTTGGGACTTGTTCCTGACCAGGGAGTTAGAATCTGTGTTAAATCCACTCCTCTGGTGATTCTCATGTACACCGAAGTTTGGGAATCCCTGCCAAAGTGTCAGGAGGGGTTTGAAGTCCTCTCTCCAAGCTCCTTACCGTCCTTGTGCTCTCTTCTCTCCAAGCACCCCCTTCAGCCCCACTCTGCCCACTCCTCCCTCACAAACCTGTTTCTCGGAATGACTACATCCTGAGTCCACCCAGGTGAAGACGACCAAATCCTCACCTCCGTACTCCACTCTACTCTCTCCCAGCCCTTTACGATGCTGGGCCACATGTCAGAGAAGATAAATTTGAGGTCCCAAGTTTCTTTCCTTCCCTGTGGCACATACTTCCCCATACTCCCAATTACTCATAGGGAATAGGGTGGGAAAGGAATCTTACGGGGCCACCCTCTACTACCTGACCCAAATGTTCTTTCCTTCCCCCTTTCTCTGTTCCCCGCCTCCCTCACCCTACATCCTATTTCCCTTCTCACATCTCAAGAGGCCACAATGCTGTAAGGAAGATAAACTCAAGACCCAAGTTCCACAGGATGCCCAAGAATTGATCTCTATCCCACTCCTCCGCATCGCCCCCCTCCCCTACCACCATTCTTTCCTCTTCTCTCTCCTGCCTATATCCAGACTCCCCTCTATCCCCATGCAATTTTGAGGGCTCCTGTGTGGACCTCTAATCCAATTCATTTTCCCAGGGCCTCTGCCCATCTCCTGACCATTAGCTTTCCCAAACTATAATATGCCACATATCCCACAGTCCAGGAATCTTCAACAGGATAGGGCTCACAGCTACCTTGCTGTTTGTTGTGATAAATAAACCAGAGCACTCAAGTCCCTCAAATTTTTCCTTATTCAGAGTTCCAACCTGCTGCCAAGATTTACCTTGTTACCATGGTAAATCTAAAGCCCTGCTCCAGGTCCTCACCTCTGACACCTCCTCCATCCCCTGAACCCATCCCAGGGTTAGTTTACTCCCAGAGGACCAGGATCAGCTTGTACCCTAAATCCACCACCAGTTTCCCCAACCCTCCCCCGCCCCTTCCATGCATCCTGGGGAGCAGAAAGGTCTGCCTCACAGCCTGATTCACCCTCTTAAACCCCCAGACCCTCATCTTGAACCTCCAGCCCGTGTGACTCTCCCCAAGCTCCTGCACCCCCAGTGCATCTCCCCCGCTAGTCACACGTGGGAGGGGTCTGCTTCGCAGTACCAGAAGTCACTCAGACAGAGGCCCCTGCAGCTGGCCCCCTGCCCCCCAAGCCCCCACCGCCCGCCCACTCCCATGTCGGGGGGCTACCTTGCTGTCGTGGTGGATGAGCTTGAGCTCATAGTCCGGCAGGATGTCCCTGCGGCTATTCACGTCCTCCAGCGCCATCTCCACCGCGGGCTGGCAGGCCTGGCCCCCGGGCCAGCCCCCGCTCATGGGAAACAGTGCCCCGATGTACACTGCGCGCCGTTCTGAGGAGGGGTGCGGGGGGACCCGCGGGTGAGGCCGCGGGAGATGAGGGGAGTGGGAGGCCCACAGCGGAGTCACCCCCGCCGCCATCACCACTAGGAGCAGCAGCGGCCACCCCACCCGGGGAGCGGGGACCCCCGGACCCATGACCGGGAGGGAGAGGGGCTGTTTGGGGAGGGGGAGGAGCTCAGGGGGGACACTTTTCCCGGGGAGGGCTGCTGAGGGGGTGTCGAGGAGGCGCCTCCATCCTGGCCTGTGTAGGGAGGAGAGGGCGAGGGCCCCAGGGAAGCGGGGAAGGTTGGCTTCCTAGGGCCCCCACGGCTCCAGCTCCCGCCCCTGCCACCGCCACCTCCACCGCGGACTCTCCTCGCGGACTGACTGACCGACCGAGGGGAGGAGGAGGAGGAGGAGATGTCGGGCTGGGAGGGGGCCCTGACGTCACGGGCGGCGCGCGGCAGCTGCGG